TGCAACCTGAACCTATGGACTAGAACTTGAAGATGTAGATTTTTTGTGAGTTCTGTTGGCTGATACTGATGTGTAAAATCAAGATATACAAGGTCCGACAATTAAATAATGTTTCAAAACAAATCACAAATTATTTTAAGAAGGGGGAAAATAGAACATGTTGTGACCACTGGAAAGATCTGTGAAAGGAGTGACGGGAAGACAACGAGAAAAGATTCTTGACAGTCTTGCTGCATGGCATGGAGGCGTTTCAGCACAAGTTAATGTTAACGGACACGCTATTTTTTAGTTCAGTGTCACCTAATAATACATATAAGGCCACCCTATAAACACCATCAAACAACAGCGGTATATTCACATTTAAAAAAATACACCATAGCAAATAAGTTGAGACCCTGGGAAGACATGATCGCCGATACCTGTCGGCAAGGCATATGATGATAATGCTTGACCATCCCCCAAGCCAATATTTTTTTTTCAGCTTTTAAATATATAAGTATATAATAAAAAAAATTTAAATAACACCCCCCGCCCCCCCCCCTCCCCACCCCCTTCTGTCAAGCCAATCATTACGCCCAGTTTTCTTTTTTCTACTATTCAACTATTAGGATCCCCCTTTCCGCCCCGCTCCTCAAACTCGCGGCTCATCTGCTCCACCTGCCCTATCATGCGCACACAAGAGCCCCGCTCCAGGTGACCTATATAGACCCTCACTCTGACACGAGCCTCACCCAAGCCGTCAGGTGACTTACTTTGAACCTCACTTTGACTCCGGGTCACGTGTCCCTAGCCTCACCTGAACTGCCAGGTAACCTAAAACCACCTGCATTTCATTTTGATTTATATCAGTAGGTGCGTCACCTCTCGCTCAGGAGGTGGAAATAGTTTTTCCTTATATAAAATCAGTAGGAGGTGGACAAAGAATAAAGAAGAAACTAAATTACTAAGAATATAGAGCGGCCACGCCCTAAAAATGAATTTCCTCAATATATACTACTTAAAGGTAGTCTGGTGGTCTTAGTTTCAGCTTCATAGCAAACGGGTCACCCCATCTTTTCTCCGCTCCTGTGCCAACGAAAAACACACAGAATGTTTATCACAGCCCCTTGCGGAAAGATTGACAGACTGCTGTCTCAGCATATCTAGAATACACTCGCATTAAAGCATACGGTAGCCATCCAAAGGGCCAACACAAACAGTCCGACATTAGAAATAGCAGAAGTCACCAACAGATCTGCAGTTGCCTACGCGATCAACTATAATCACATACAGGCACCACCAACATTGCGACGACAGTCATCGCGCCATTTTCTGAATCTACAATTCACACCACCACGTTGGTCACAAACGAAAAAACATTCCAAATGAAATCCGCAGCTCACAGTGTCACGCCATGCATTCAACTCAGAAGCTGGGCGACGAAACTATATCCAGTCTACAAATGGAACAAAAATGCATCGGCCACCATCCGGCAGAAGCAAAAAATTTTCCTCGGCTTCAAACAGTGGTCTGCCTACTGCCCATTTTGACCGGAAGTCTCCTACTTAGGAAAAAAAAAAGCTACCTTAGCCTCCATGTTGTAGCACCCCTGACCTCGTTAATAATACATTTTTAATCAGAGACTACACCTTCGATAAAATATATCAGAAATGATTTGAAACTGATTTTGTGGTTTGTGATCTATCACTGCCTCATTTATGTGGCACATGATATTGTTCTTCTGTATTACTATTATATTGACAACACAAACACCAACAACAGAAAAACATAATACTAGTTGACTTAGTTTCCAGCCCTTGTTTCTTCCTTACATTTCAGTTATCTCCATCTTCCAGAAATACCAGTGCTAGTGTAATATTGTGTATACAAGCATTTCTGACAACTTTCCAAAACTCAAGATGTCTGAAAAACTGGAGGAAAGATGTAAATTCATCAAAGGTTCGTGAATTCTGTAATAGGTTTATTGTCAAAATGAATATAATTTTGTATGCTGATTTGCATATATAACCATACTTTACATTCTGAAGATAAGTAGTGTTTTCTGAAAGGTATCCAGGAGTTGCTTTTCTAAAAGCAAGTGTTTTTGCCAATGGCCAGTCAAGTAACTGCTTTCATAATCATAGCACCTGTCATGGAAATATCAACTTCATAACAAGGACACAATAGAGTTAATTTTATTAGTTACAAGATAGCAATTCATATTTGAAGGACCTATTAGGATAGAAAACACGCCATAACTGACATATCACAAGTTGCAACCTCATCCTGTATACAACCTGAGCTGCAAAATCCAGCAAATAGTGAACAAGTCTGTACAATAAATAGGCTGAGTGAATGAAAGCTTACAACGAAAACTACGTGCAGACTAGATATATGCACAACACTGACAGGTTAATCAAAGTTTCCTTTACCAATGAAAATCCAGTGTTACAATCGACAGATACCTCAGCAGACTTGCAAAACTAAGAGAAGGAAGTATCAAGTCGGTGTAATAGCACCAACTTTGTTCGTCGTCTACATCAATGACATCAAAACAGTCTACCACCAAGATGTATCAAATTCTCTTACCACCAAGATGTATCAAATTCCCTTACCACCAAGATGTATCAAATTCCCCTACCACCAAGATGTATCAAATTCCCTTACCACCAAGATGTATCAAATTTCCTTACCACCAGGATGTATCAAATTTCCTTACCACCAATATGTATCAAATTTCCTTACCACCAAGATGTATCAAATCCCCTTACCACCAAGATGTATCAAATCCCCTTACCACCAAGATGTATCAAATCCCCTTACCACCAAGATGTATCAAATTCCCTTACCACCAAGATGTATCAAATCCCCTTACCACCAGGATGTATCAAATTACCTTACCACCAAGATGTATCAAATTCCCTTACCACCAAGATGTATAAAATTCCCGTACCAACAAGATGTATCAAATTCCCTTACCACCAAGATGTATCAAATTCCCTTAACACCAAGATGTATCAATCTCCCTTAACACCAAGATGTATAAAATTCCCTTACCACCAAGATGTATCAATCTTCCTTACCAGCAAGATGTATCAAATTCCCTTACCACCAAGATGTATCAAATTCCCTTACCACCAAGATGTATCAATCTCCCTTACCACCAAGATGTATCAAATCCCTTATATACTGATGACTGCAGTTTGGAGAGCCACAGAATAAGCAACACTAGCCTCATATTTATTGCAGGAAACGGGGGGGGGGGGGGAAATGGAAACATGGACTGAAATGTCCAAACTAAATCAAACAGCCACAGTATCTCCCCACCACCCCTCCCCCATCCCACCCCCATCCCAAGGGGAAAAAGGTCAAAATCAAGCTAAAAAACCCAGCTCATCTCACAAACCCACATATTGGCACTCTTCACAAAAAAGGATGAAAGAATACCACCTGATTACCGGGCAGACTGACATACTACTAAACTACTATAAGTTTTTAAAAAAAAGGTAAAGTCGGGAGATGTGGAGATGTGAACCAGCTTCATTGCACACGGCTATAAACCATAAGTGCTCTGCCACCAGTGAGGACAGCTGATAAGAATCTGTCCACCTGTGTCGCCGTAGCTACAGCGACGTTCCTCCATTCAGCCCAGAGTTTCAACTCTGGTACCCATTTCCTAGAGGCTGGGTGAACCCCGGGAACCGCCCGGTTTCTAACACCGACCGTGGCTACAGCGAGTCGCAGCTGGATTTGAAAGCGAGCCTCCTATCGACTGCCCTAACGCGGCTCTCGATATACAAGTTATCTGGCCCAAGGAAGCTACATTGCAAGACAAGCTGTGAAGGACTGTTGAGACCTTGGACACTATCGTGTTTGTAGCCTAGGCAGGACTGCATGTTTGGCATGGCTTATGTCAACAACAACAAAAGAAGAAGAATGTGTGACAGACAGAGGGAACCTGGCAGTAGAAAAATACTAATTTAATGACTATTTATATGCTACTAGATGTAGTACAAATTAAATTCCATTTGTGTGTGTGTGTGTACCATGTGGTTATAGCAGAACCTCTTATCAAAAAGTAACGTAATATTTGTTCTAGTTATCTTACTACAATATTCCTCATATTGATAGAGCACCATATTCATAAGAATTAGCTTCAAAAATTGTAAAAAGTTTCATGCATGAACAAATGAAATAGGAGCACTTAGTTAAAAGTATATCATCTGTGGTTGACTTGTTCAAAATCTAGAACTGAGCAGGTTTAACTGAAATAGTCTAATGATCAGATGGTGTCACAAAATGAAAAGAAGTTCAAACTGGCAATGAGTTGCCAAATATAATGCATTTTCTCAGAAATTTCTGCAAATTATACGGTAATTATTTTATGAGCCTTGATAAACTGCAGAGATATGCTGGTCTGAAAAACAATTATGTGACTGCTGTCATTAATGACACAGTAACGGTCTTTGAGGTTTTGAACAACGGATCCCCAGCATGGCACACGGGTAGTAACCCATAAGTGTTCCGTTCTACTTCTATCTCAAGTCTGAATCCGAAGAAGCTCAGCACAGTGCACAGGCTTTGTTGCACCGGCGAGGATCCTTAAATACATTGGGTAGATTTTTAACTCTAAATTTTGCCCGGACAGCGCCGTTAGGCTACTATTTTCGATTTCCAACTGCCAAGGAAATTTGTATGTGCGCAACAATGCACACGGGCGACTGATCCCACTACCCAGAGACCAGGGGAAATTACTAGAAGTCCCAGTCCACGTAAAAGAAACCCAGCCCTTACCGGGGATTGAACCCGGAACCTTTAGCACTCAAGGCGGACACCATACCTAGAGACCACGCAGCCCCATCAATAACGGTGTTTTAAATCTCAGCTTTAAAAAAAAAAATCATGTTAACAATGTGTACATGATTTTACATAGTGATATTAAAATGTACCTGCTTGATATATAGAACAACCATTCAGATCGCTAGTCAGTCAAATAGATAGTTTAATATGTGCGTTTGTAGGTGGTTATGTCTCCAGTCTGGGAGGTCATCAACACAGCCTAGATCACAGCCATAGCCACGATCAAAGCCATAGCCATAGCCATGAACATGGACACACACACGAAGTGATGGAGAACCCTGGTACATTCACAGACAGGGAAATGCCAGCATACAGACATGACTGGAACCAAGTAAATCTTTTCTTTTCTATTTAAAACTGATAAAACTTGTCAGTCAGCTACACTGAAAGAAATGTCAGTCAGAAATGTCTTTTAAGCTTATTTGGTGAAATTTTGAAAAGGACTAGTTTTTGGAAGGACCTATCACAGACTTGCCACTTTCCATTGTTTGCTACGTGCTTCATTGGTTTTATCAGTTTGTTGGCGTCTTGAACCTGAGAGAGACTATTTTTATAAAAGATTCATTTACATCTGTCTATTGATGGATTTCAATTCTTTCCATTTTCAGTAACAGTTGCCGTGGTCAGAACTGATGAAATGGAGGAAGTAAGATTTAAGAGCTTTACTATGAATATCCCTCTTTCAACAGTTCTGACCACCAAGGTGTAAGCGATATCACAGTCACTGCTATTAAATCTTGCTCCGGTGTGATCATACCAGCCGCTACTCCTTAGAAAATTGTTTCATTCATAGTTTTAGCATTCTCAGTCCTGCCCTGGAGGAATTTGTATTCAACACAACTATATAAATGTATTAACTTGTTCATTTATGTAACTTATTCATTTATCTGACTTTTTTTTTTTTACACACGCCCTCTTACTCATTTTGTTTTGTAATATAGCACTTCATATTCACACTCCGAGTCATATTTTACTCCTTGTTGTCAGCGGCCAGCGATATCGCGTCTTCTATGCTGTGAGTGCCTTTAACGGTCCAAAAACATGTACAACTGGGCCTAACCCCAACCCCTCTTACTCCGCAGCCTCAGCCTAAGTATCACGACTGCATGCAGCCTCTAATATACGCTGCATACAGTCGTGCGACCTAGGATGAACCCCTGCGACATAGTAGAGGCCCATACATTGTTAACAGCACTCAGTTTCAAGGATTCATACAAAAGTCAGATTTATTTTCTTGAGGAGGGGGAAGGGAATCTGTACCTGTCTAATGAACTGAATAGCAGCTGTAATGTATTCTCTGAAAGGTCTCCCTCTGTTGGGGTGCATGGGCATTAGGCATTCAATTATAGTCCTGGGACTAACACATCGATTCGGAATCTCGTCTATGCTCTTGAATGTGTATATGAGAGATTGGGAGGATACTTACATTTGCAGATGATATTATTTCATATAGGCAGGGCAGAAAAAAAAACCAAAGGACACAAGAGCAACAGGCAACGGTAGACAAAGTGACTTACTGGTAGCATCAATCAAAACAGGTGTGTTTTCTGGTTTTCGCCGGAAAATGTGTTATTAAAATGGATGCCCTGAGCTTCACACTTAATATTATCAGCATCATTAAAGAAAGCAAAATGGCGTGCTGGAAATTATCGTTGATAGAAACTGTCCTTCAGAGTCCATATGGGAGTAGTTGTGACAGCATGCCATTAGGGATTCATTAAAATAACGATTTTAGTGTCAAGGTACATAGAGCATAGAATGACTGTCCCAGTGTACCAGTACATAATCACTTCAGTAACTGATTAAGCAGCACTGGGACTGCTCACCATCTCAGAGAGCCAACAAATGAAAAGTAACAGGATGAATATATATGGGTGATGCTGGATCAGTAGCATGTATGAGAGAGATACATCCTTGCTTTGCCAGGTATTGCAGATTGACTCATGGTGTGCAGGCAAATTCATAACTCAAAGTAATCACAGGACAACAAACACCTTTGGAGTTTTTGATTATGTTTAAGGTAATAGGCATGTGTCAGGTCTTGGTCATATATGACTGAGCTACCACATAACAGTAGCCGGTATCACCTGTCTTCTGTTAACGCAGAATTTGGTCCACGTATGCCAAACCTGACATCCCATATTTACCAACGGCTTCGGGTAAACGAGCGCATTGGGAATATACCAGCCTTATCCTAGGTAGGGGAAATGCAACCTGAAAACCTCATGTTATGGCAGGGCAGACCAGGCCCTTAGCCTTGGCTGGCAGCTGATCTAAGAGGAAAGCTCTGACAAGCGAATTTATAGAGCACTGCTCTTCTGATCCGGTAGCTTTTGCAGCCTGCTTTGTTCCAAATATACTGGTGTTACATTTCCTTTGAAGTAAACAAGGCAGGCAAAGAGAGGGATCATTAAGCATGGGAAACATATGGTCTTTACAAAACTGCCTAAGCTTTGTGCTATGGAGAGGATGAAGTTCATTCCTGGCCGTTACTGGTTTCCATAACAAATCAAGAGGTGGCAGTTACCGGTTATAGGTCCTTGTCAACTGGCGTAGATAAGGGCGGTACTGGTTGCCTCTGACGGTGGGAGACATTTTCTAATGTCACTGATCAGCCACCGCACACCTCGAGCTGGGCAGCCCCCAGCCAGTGAGGTTTTGATCCGTCATAGCCTGCATGCTTTAATGGGTGCTTGGAGTTAGGACTAAATTCGAATAGCAGGCTGTACAAAAAAAAATGTACCAGACAAAAAGACTAACAGTCAAAAAAAAAGAAGACAAAGGTTATGGTGCAAGGTACTTGTAACTGACTCACAGAGCATGTTGAGAGAGGTGGAGCAGACATGCTCCGTGCAGAGTGGCAAGCATCACCTTAAAGGTCCGGGTATTTAGCATCCTTGGGATATTTTCTCCAGGTCATGCTGGCGTGTTGGGAAATGAGCGGTCTGAGGAGAATGGCACTGCGAGGACGTACAAGCGGATCTGGACGACGCTCGATAATCAGGAGACAGGCGAGACAGATATACAATCAGACAGTTACTGGTACAAACGGAACTTGAACTCTTCGCTTGCTGCTGAAGATGGGCACGGAGCGCTTATTGGGGTTTCCCGATTACTGTGATGTCGATTCCTAATTCATCATTCAATGACAGACCTGCAGTCTACATCGACTGTGAAGGACTAGAGTCACTAGACCATTTTACCTATCTGGGATCCACAGTTAAGAACAACTATCGCTGGACCAAGAAATCAACATCTGGATAGGTAAGGCAGCATCAACAATGAGCAGATTAACAAAAAGAGTGGGAGAACTGAAATCTCACGATTAGAACAAAATCTCTATCATACTTGTGTTCTCAGCACTTCACTTTATGGCAGTGAAACGGGTAGAAGATGTCAAGGTCGACCTCCTCTATGATTTAAAGATGTTTTCAAGCGGGGCGTGAATGAAACAGGTATTGAGGTGGACACGAGTAGTGCACATCAGGAAAGAAATGATAATGAGGGAAGAAATGCTTGCAAAAAAGGATGAGAGCTGAGCCTCCGAGAAGAAACAGACTAGGCACAAATGTGACAACAATAGTCCAGAAATATAACTGTGGAAGACTTTTCTTGAAACGGGTTGGTCTTGCTAGTCACACTTGCCATTGCCATGGACAGTGACTCCAATGCCTCTTGATAGCGCAAAATGACACTTTCGTCTGAAAAGATGGAAAGGTGCCAGTCAAAGGTAATAGGCTGTTAAGAGAAAAAGTCGTGGATGGTTCACAGTAGAAAAAAAAAGTCAAACAGATGTGATTGAGAAATTTGGGCCTTGAGGGAAACAGGTCAAAAGTGCAGACTTGTTAACAGTGTAGCAATCATAATATTGGGTCAGCTGTGTATGTGTGGCTAACAGGTGCTGCAGAGGTGGAAAATTAGTGTTAGATTCATAATAATTATCGCATGATTTTTTTTAAGGCGGTGGGGGATACCTGGGCGTTTATAGCAATATCAAGTCAATGTTTTAGGACTGAAATGAGCCACCACAATATTTAATTTGAGAAGGAAGGTGGAGTCATAAAGAGAAAAATCGTAATGTATGAATACTGAGCAAGAAATTCAAAAAAAGGTGTGCAATTGTAAACAGCTGTGTAAGATATAATGTAAACAACAACAATTTAATTGAAGTGTTAAATGCATAATCACGACAGAAATGCTCTAGAGGTACTTTAAAAAAAAAAGATAGATTATAGATCTACAGAAAAAAAATCTGAAGACAGTTGGGGAGGATAACAACCTATACTCTCAAAGTCATTTCAAAGTTAGGCTGAGATACCGAACTATGTATCATTTCACAATAGTGATTTAGAAATTGTTTGAACCTTACATTAGCAAAAGTCTTCTATGCTATTTCAGAGAGCATTTACTGTAGGCATTGGTGGACCTGTAGGGTCGGGAAAGACCGCTCTAGTGCTAGCTTTGTGTCAGTACCTAAAGGACAAGTGTGGCGTGTGTGTGGTCACCAATGATATCTTCACAAAGTGAGAATGGCAGTATGTTAAGCAAGTAATTGTTTTGTTAATGCATTCTCTAGCATACTGTCATAGTCAAGAGAATTCATAAAGAGACTTATTACTCACATTAGAAAAAGGCAATTCACATTCTTTGTGCACACCATGAGAAGACAGTGTTTGCCAGTGGAACAAATATCGGTATCAGCAATCACTGGCAGAACACGAGACAGTTTGCTGTAAACAGATATGCTCAACACCACAGGGAATCAACTGTAAGAAATGAAAAAACATTGATGCTAAATCCTCAGGCCCAGGCTTTCCATCATTATCTTATGTTGATTAGCTGATGTTTGAAATGTAAATTTCAGCATTGTTTTTTTATGCGTGTCGGAGTAAAAGGTAATGAATAGGTTGAGTAGCTGGTAGGTTTTGCAACACTGCATGTGGGAAGACACACGGACAGAGCAGAAGTAACCCACACTACATGGATTAGACAGGCAGAATCTCTAACAATCCTTGTTACCAACATGATTGCATGAATTCTGAGTGAAGCATGGAGGCGCCTTCTTCAATGTCAAGGTAGGAGACATCACAACCAACTTCTCATGGGAACAGTCAGTACAGGCACTCTGGAGTGGCTGCTGCATCAGAGGACTGAGTAAATTACAATATTAAATATTTTTAATAAACAGTATCTTTACATTTTATATGGAGTATAGAACTTCAGCATTCTTGGTATATTTATGTTTTGCACAGTCATTATAACGGATTATCGCTCTGTTAATTTCTTCTGCAGTTATTCTGCTGGCTCTCTTAAGTATTTCTTTCAGTAATTTCAACCTGTCTGTTGTCATTTCTAAAAACATTGATTTGTCATTGGTCTGATCCACGGCTCCTGTTTGTGTGTGTGTGTGTGTTTTTTAGAAACAATTACTGATACTGCAGATGTATCTTACGATGTTGACCCTCTTCTGTCTTTGTAGCCTGAGTTTATGCAGAGAAGTCTTCAGACTGTCTATTAACAACATTCACATTCTACATGCACAACACTCGTCTTATATAGCTGACACTGACGTTCTGAGCCAAAGAGATTACTTCCTTTAAAATCTGGTTTCCTGCTTTCTGGAAATCTGGTTCCTGGTTTTCAATTTGTGTGTGTGTGCGTGTGTGTGCGTGCGTGCGTGTGTGTGTGCGTGCGCACGCGTGTGTGCGTGCGCGCGCGTGTGCGTTGATTCCGCAGATAAGATACAGTCTCTATTAGGATTGCTTCACCTCAGTCCGCAAGGAATGAGTCTGAAGAATGTATTATATTTTCTAATTGGGATCTTCATCCATAGTTCCACCTGCAGTTTCCCTTTCCTGCATTGCCACTTTGACAGTCCCCCCCCCCCCCCCCCCACAATGCATGTATAGCTCATCTCACCAGTATACTTAATCACTCTGTGAGCTATGGTACTGTTATTTCCCAACACACTGGATTACCCCTGGAGAAAAGATGCAGCGTTGCTTTTCCACCTTGACCTTCGAAGCAAAGCTTCTCACTCTGCACAAAGCATGCCTGTCCTCAGCTTCTTCAGCATGATTTCTGAGTCTGTTACAATAACGATGAGTGCATCGTTTTCTTTAGTAGGTTAAAAGAAAATTTAAAAAGTGCTAAAACTACTTTGTTATATCCGTGATTTATAATCTTTTAATTGAACAAACTTTCCATGTGTCTTTGTAACAGTTGGCCATTACTACATGCTCCATGTTATTTGTATTTTGTAACTCATCATATAAGTGAATATAGTTGCTGAAACAATGTTACAATATGCACACAATATGTGAAGCTAAAAGTCAAAGGATCCTAATTTATATATATATATAGTCTAGTCTATTGTCTTCTTGACCAGCTGACCCTCGATGAGCGTTGTTCTCCATACCATACTGGCACTTCACTACCATACTGGCACTTCACTACCATACTGGCACTTCACTACCATACTGGCACTTAACTACCATACTGGCACTTCACTACCATACTGGCACTTCACTACCATACTGGCACTTCACTACCATACTGGCACTTCACTACCATACTGGCACTTCCCTACCATACTGGCACTTCACTACCATACTGGCACTTCACTACCATACTGGCACTTCACTACCATACTGGCACTTCACTACCATACTGGCACTTCACTACCATACTGGCACTTAACTACCATACTGGCACTTAACTACCATACTGGCACTTCACTACCATACTGGCACTTAACTACCATACTGGCACTTCACTACCATACTGGCACTTCACTACCATACTGGCACTTCACTACCATACTGGCACTTCACTACCATACTGGCACTTCACAACCATACTGGCACTTCACTACCTTACTGGCACTTCACTACCTTACTGGCACTTCACAACCATACTGGCACTTCACTACCATACTGGCATTTCCCTACCATACTGGTACTTCACTACCATACTGGCACTTCACTACCATACTGGCACTTCACTACCATACTGGCACTTCACTACCATACTGGCACTTCACTACCATACTGGCACTTCACTACCATACGGGCACTTCACTACCATACTGGCACTTCACTACCATACGAGCACTTCACTACCATACGAGCACTTCACTTGCCCGTAACTTGTTTCTCAAGTTACTGTTGTATGCCTATTTATCTATTGTACACAAATGTATAGCTGTAATAGACATTTCCATTTCTGTTGTATACATATTCATTACTTTTGTATTCTGTACACAATTTATTTTATTAAAAGAAACATTTGATCTTGTTTTTGATCATCACGAAAACAAATGTTAAATTTAATTTAGGCTGCATGGTAAAAAAATGTTTACAGAAATAAAGCGAGAATTTAACATGTATTTTTATGTTTTAAAAAAAGATCTGAAAGAAGACAGATATATAAAACGATATGTATAAAAACTGTCATTTTATTACACTTGTATAGAGAAGACTGGGAGTTCCTAGTGAAAAACAAGGCCCTGGACCAAGAACGAATGAGAGCTGTGGAGACTGGTGGATGTCCGCATGCAGCCATCAGAGAGGTAGTTTACAGTTGTTGACATGCCACACCTAAAGAACATAGTTTACTGCAGAGATTCTCCACATGATTCTTTGTTGTTTGTTGGTGTTGTTGTTGGTGTTTGTTGGTGTTGGTGTTGTTGGTGTTGTGTTGTTGGTGTTGTTAGTGTTGTTGTTGGTGTTGTTGTTGGTGTTGTTGTTGGTGTTGTTGGTGTTGTGTTGTTGTTGGTGTTGTTGACGTTGTTGGTGTTGTTCTGTTGGTGTTGTTGGTGTTGTTGTTTGTGTTGTTGGTGTTGGTGTTGTTGTTGGTGTTGGTGTTGTTGTTGTTGGTGGTGGTGTTTTTGGTGTTGTTGGTGTTGCTGGTGTTGTTGTTGTTGGTGTTGTTGTTGTTGGTGTTGTTGTGTGTGTGTGTGTGCGTGCGGGTGGGTGGGCGGTGTGTGTGTGTGTGGTGTGTGTGTGTGTGTGTTTTTTTTTTTTTACAACAGTTTAGAAAAACAAATATTAAATAATTATGGTAATTCTAATGAAACACGCTGCTGGAGATCAGAAAATATTTAACAACATGATAACCCATGCCAGTTGGCTTAGGAACTTGATAAATAATTAATCCCAACTTCGTACTAGAGAAATTCATCACTGACATACATTAGGTAACGTTGTTACTTGTTGCCAAGTTTTTGGTATTTTATTTTTTGAGTTCTCCATGTAAATTTATTTTACTTCCCACATACTTTCTACATTCCATTAACTTCACATTCGTCAGGACTATTCACTGAACATGGCTGAAGTAAGAGAGCTTACTTTGAAGTTTCAACCGGATCTTGTATTAATAGAATCCGGAGGGGACAATCTTGCAGCCAATTTTTCCAGAGAGTTAGCAGATTATATCATTTACGTCATTGATGTAGCAGGTAAGATAAAATCAATGATCTTTTTTCGATAAAACAATGAATTCTTGCAAATATTTTCTTAGGACAGTAAAATACTGATTAGGTATTGCTCATGTACATTTTCAAAATGATATGATCATTAGAGAAAAGGATTCCTTGTTTGCTTCTCATAGTTATAGGCAATAAGGAAGTTTGGCAACCGGCACGTCACTACCTACTTACTGAACTTTGATAAATCTGTCATCAAGGTCCCAAAATAACGTGTGTGTTGTCCATCAAGATGATGATGACCACTCTTTTTCATCAAGTATGAGTACAAAGATGACTGATGAAGCCGATACGGGCCCGAAAAGTTCTTGGACAGTGAGGACAGGGAATGAGCGTTGTGTCAGGGAGGGGATCTCCTGCAGTCGCCTTTCTGTCCATCCTTTTCTTAATAAGTCTTGCTGTTCTGTTTGCTTCGCATATAGCCACGCCCTTGTGTAGAGCTGCACGCCATGCATTTCGGTCTTGAGAGGCAGCCTCCCAGTTGGTGTCATTCATCCCAAACGCTTTGAGTGAAGACTTCAAGGTGTCCTTAAAGCGTTTCTTTTGTCGGCCTTGGGAACGTTTCCCATTTTGCAGCTCACCATAGAAGAGTGTCTTTGGGAGCCTGTGATCTGGCTTGTGTGCCACATGACCATCCCAACGAATTTGATATTGCATCAGTAGAGTGTGGATGCTTGGCATGGCTGCTTTCTCAAGCACTACGTATGCAGGTACTTTGACTTGTCATCTGATATGCATTAGTTTTCTAAGGCAGACTGTGTGAGAGTGGTTTAACTTTCTAGCCTGGCGCTGGTATACAGTCCATGTTTTGCACGCGTACAGCAGTGCAGTTAATACAACTGCTCTGTATACTTTAAGCTTTGACTGCAGGGTTATGCCACTTCTGTTCCAAACATTGGTGAATATTCTTGTGTTTCGACTGCTGTTGCAGGGTACCCACCAGCCGCGGTAAGCTAGTTAGGGAGTGGTGGATCAAGTAATGTTTAGGGCCCCTTTTCTAGCCCCTTCCTCATGCCATGGAGGTGAGCAGTGCTGTCCTAAAGAGAGGAGGCTCAGGGGGCTGCCGAATTCCGCTGCTGCTCCGGTCAACGAAAAGCGACCCCATGGCCTGAGCCGCCAGTGTGCAGGTCCTCAACTACGGCTTCCAGCGTACCCACGCCTGCCGCTTTGCTGTTCGCCCATCGCAACTGCGCTTGAAGAAATGAACATATAAAAGGTGGTGATAAAGATGAAAGAGTGACTTGCGCGGTGACTTGGATTAAAGTGAGGAAGAGTTGCGCAGTGTCGTCGACCTCACTCTCTCGCCTAAGTCATATCTGGGTCCAGTGGCAAGACATAGTCAGGACGACTGGAGATATGTCTAGGTGTAGTGGATGACCAGGGCGTTCTACAAGCCTCGCCAAGCTCATTGCGCTCCACAGTGCTTTGCTAGTGTCGCCGTCTTGCCCGTTGAATCAAATATGGTTTCCTCCGCGCATTCTGCTGACAGTAGTCTTTGCATGCTTGGATAGGCAGATCCTAACTCACAGATGGAGAGGAGCATTGGCTGTCCTCACCTGGTTTTGCCGGCCTGTCAAAGCTATTGCCGGGGGAAGGGGGGTGGCCGTTGTCGCATGCTGACAGCTACGTGGAGACACAGGTGAGAGCTGAGTGTCAGTTTTGGACCAAAGGTTATCAAGCTGTTATAAAAATGACATGAAACGCTCCCCAACCAGAGGTACTACCAATAACTGACACCCCAAATCCCCCCCCCCCCCCCCCAATAATAATGGCACAACAGCAGCAGATGGAATTCCGGTACTCATTTTACAGTAATGATTTCGCTGGTCAAGAAGATTATTTGTCCAGTTATATCAGCATAATAAAACATCATCTTTAAGTGCACGAATGTGCCGTAATAAAAAGGGAGAAATAGCTGGGGGGAAAATGCCAGAAAGAAATTGTAACAGTGGGAAAAGTTCATTTATTATTTAAAGGTAAAGGTGGAAAGGGCTCCTTTTCATGCCGTAAGGCCAGTTGAGTGTTCTTGTCTCACTCCATCCATGTGGCAAAGCTATTTAGATGTTCATCTCTTTGTCTTCATCTTGCTCTCTTTCCATTCATCTCGTCAGCTTTTACGAAGTTTTCAAATCCATTTCTTTTCATAAAATGTCCGAAAGAAAACACTGTATGTTGTTCAAACTAAGAGACCCCTAAATAAAACCCTTGTATTTAGTGTGACCCTGGTTATAATTTTGTTTAGGTGGTGACAAAATTCCAAGAAAAGGTGGTCCTGGTGTTACGCAGAGTGATCTGCTTGTTATCAACAAGACAGACTTAGCTGAAGCTGTTGGAGCTAACTTAGATGTGAGTTTCCTTTACATGCATTGTAATGTCAATCCATTTATTCCCCACGTGGGCTCTGGAGCCCTGTTATAGGGAAAACAAAAATAGACCCACTGTCTCCCGAAAGCATATCATAAGAGTTGACTAAATGGGAGCTTTCTTATAATTTGGAGTGCATCTGCCTGAGAGGCAAGGAATCAGCAGTCTGCATACAAATGAGTCAGATATATAAAACGGATGCACACGCAATACTCAGGTTCTGGAACAGGACTGCAGTCCAGAAGTGGATGAACAACAAGAACTTTCTGTCAAAGTTTAGAGCTGGTGAACGCGAAGGAGAAAAAGAATCCATCTGTTTAGTCCTAAGAACTATGAAGTTGTTTTTCATTATACAGTTCCATCCTGGCTAATACTTGGCAGACTGATTTGCTTCTTTCCTTTACATCCAAACAAGAGATAAGCTTGCTGTTAGTGCTAAGACCATTTTATCATAGAATGACAAAGTGACTGCACATAACATGTCAGCATAAGTAAATGATGCTGCCACTACAATATTTCAGTGCCAGCAGGAAGTTAGCAAATATTACCAGATATGGTGGAGTAATATGCACATGCAGAATTTAGATGTTAATATTTATTGTTTTTAAACTCAACAAAAAGCTGCCTGGTGAAAAATTAAGTTGAAGAAATCATACGCATAAAAAAGGAATCATAAAAGGTGGCTTACATCAAAATCGGAACACATTTGGAATAATGAGAGACGCAAAACCATTTAGGCTTCTAACAATGAACCCTGGGGAAAATGTGGAAAACATACAGGTTTTTTTAAATAAACTAATGAAGACATGAAAATAGATATGAAAGCTACAATCCAGTTCCCATAATATACGGTGGGATTGGTATATATACCTTTGTTTAATCCTGATCAGAAACTTGCAAGATGAGCAGAATATTTTCAAGAGTAAATCAGTTCTGCAAGCAACACAACAAATAACCTAAACATTGTGTGCAAAACCACTGAACAAACTCAACCAATTTCATGCCAATCCAATAAAAAGATTAAACATCAATGGTTGAGCACTAGTAAGGAAATTAATGAACAATTTTGAGAGCATGCATCTTCCCTGTAGCAGCATATGCAAACGGATGTGAGCCATGAATCATACCCTACTTCTTGAGAAAGAAAGTAGGGGCGTTTGAGCTGAAATGCTATATACAAATTCTCAGAATACCATGGACAAAGAAGAGAAGAAATACAGACAGTCCAAAAGATCTAAACATCACGGACGATTGGCTAATAAACAGCATCTGGTCTCAGAAGCTGAAATATTGTTGGTCATGTCAAGCACCATGGTGGATTGAAAAAAAAATAATAACAAAAAGCATGGTACCAGGAAGGAGGGGTAGCCCATGATGAGAGCGACATGCTGCAAAGATCTGCTACATGATGATGATGATGATGACATACCAACAGGAGTGAGCACAGCCATTCAGAGGAGTAAAAATTAAATACCAGACCTGGATGGAATAACTGCAAAAGCCATTCAAACATGCCAACACCTCAGCATTAATTGGCTAAAAAAGATCTTAAATGGGGATATGAGAAGAAAAGAAAGTCCCTGATGACTGGAAACAAGCATCATTAATACTGTGTGTGTGCATGCATGCATGTCTGCATGTGTTTGTGTGAGAGTGTGGGAGAGTGAGTGTGTGATTTGCTTTCCTTCGCATCCACACAAGCGATAAGCTGCTAGTGCCTAGTCTGTTTTTGTCATAGAATTACAGACTGACTGCATACATAATAACATAAGTAAACAATGCTGCAACTACTCTCTCTCTCTCTCTCTCTCTCTCTCTATATATATATATATATATATATATATATATATATATATATATATATATATATATATATATTTACACATATTTATCACAGAGAAAAAAAATGTATGCAAAGTTATTAGAACAGAGAATGTGGTCCAGTGATAAACAATTAAGCACAGTAAACATTAGCACAATAAACTGCTTCTTCTTCTTCAGCTTTCCGAGCCTTTGAGGTTCATTGCTGCAGACATCACCTGCCTCCATTCATCTCTCTGGTTGGTCCTCTCTTTCCAGTAAACTGCTGGCAGGTTATCATTCTCATTGATAAAATGTCAGTTCTGCAAAGTCTTCACACTGATTTACTGCTAGAATTAATAGTGAATCCTAAGTGAAGTCAACACTGACTAACTGGTTAATACCATCTCAGGCGGAAATTCGTCTTATTCTTCTTAATATTCACCGGCTGTAAACTCTCGCAGAAAGTTTTGCTTGTGAAACCCTAGAGAGATTCTAACATTAGACATGAGATTTGTCAAATATTATGCATAATCAACCCTACAATATGACACACATTTGGATAACAAACAAGGAATGAGACAGTTAAATTGAAGCTGAAGATGTAAATACACATAAGGATAAGCCATGCTTCATGTGAACATAAGCAACCAATACAATGGTTCTAATGAGATTGGGATTACTGAACAAAATTAGGAAATGAACTGTTTCAGAGACACTAAAAGAAAACACACATAACATTGGTACATAAAGAAAACTTTTAAGGCAGGTAAGCAAGAGGTAAACAGTGATACATGTGGCAGAATTACCTCAAGGGGTGGATGAACAACAGTGTGACAGAGTGTATGACCAGGACAAGAGATCGAGTATGTTGGAGATCTATTGCAGCCAACCTTCAATGTGGTGATACCTGACTATTTTGTTGACAATATTAGAAAGAATTTTAATCTCACATTAACTTCTTAGTTTTGTATTCCTCTAAGTCAGCCTTGCAACAGTGAAGTAGTCCATATTAGTTCCCTTCTCCAGTTTTCTTCAGTTTTTCTGAAACAAATATTTGATGTAATTACTAACACTTATGTAGAATGCAACAATGAATAAGAAAACTAAGACAATTTTTGTATTTTTTTTTAACTCTCTGTTCTATACAATGTGTGATACACACATGCAGATGAATTCCAGCCATTGCATAATGTGTTCACACAATTTTACTATTGGTCACAGAACATTAAACAAATCTAGCTTCCATATTGGCTAATTCGGCTCTACTGGCAAATCCGGACGAAGAATAAACAGACTTGGACGACTTAGTCAGAGTTATCTCCCGTCGCCGCACTCCGAACAGTAATCGGAAAACAAACGAAACAAACGACACACTTACCTATCATCCTGCGGTTGCGTGTAGGGCTGCGTACGGTTGCGTGAGACATCGTGGCATCATCATATGGTTGCGTGCACAGTTGCGTACGGTTGCGTGAGGCACTGTGAATGGTTGTGTAGTCATCATCATGCGGTTGTTGGATTAGAGTTAGGGGTAGGGTTAGGGGTAGGGTTAGGGGTAGGGTTAGGAGTAGGGTTAGGGTTAGATGTGAAAATTTTGACGTAGGATTTTGAAATACTGGCCGACAATATGATGTTTGTGGGAGTGGCGCCACTTAAACTCTGCCAAATTTGACGCCAATAGCGTGCGGCTGGTGCCCCCAATCGTTGGCGAATTGTGCGTGTGACCAGCATCCAGAGGCCCTCGATTGTTTGTGTGTGTGTATGGGACTGTGAGCGATTATAGGGAACTCCGGCGTCAAAATTGTCAAATCTAACGCTAATCCTAACCCTACCGCTAACCCTAATCCTAATCCTACTCCCTAACCCTAACCCCTACCCCCCAACCACACAAATTTATCGATCATTAAAGCATACAAATCGGCAAACGCGAACAAACAAAGCACACCCAAAAAAAAAACACCCAGAATTGTCCTGCAGCGTCGAAAAAAAACCCAGATCTGGGGGAAACAACCAAGCATTGGCAGCCCTGATGTCGACGTGACTGTCTTCTTTGTTTCGTTGTGGCTTTTCCGATCACTGTTTGGAGTGCGGCGACGGGAGATAACTCTGACTAAGTCGTCCAAGGCTAATTCTTCTGTGTATTTTATAATTATTTCCCTTCAGCATTTGCTGCAAGATTCCCCCACCACAAACTCCCCTTCCTTTTCCCAGATTGAAAGAGTTAAAATAGTAAATATGAGATGTAATGTCTAAAGCTAATGTTTATTCACTCCAGATAATGAAAAGAGATGCCAAATTGATGCGCCAAGATGGACCAACATTATTTATTCAAGCAAAACATGGCTTGGGCGTAGAAGATGTAGCACAGCATATCTTGTCAGCTTACAATCTTCAAAAACTGTCATCATAACGTGTCCAGAGCAATTCTGTTAAATGCCAGTAGGATTCATTCTACCAGATGGCAAAAGCAGTAATTTTTTTCTGAATTTTTTTGTTTCTTATTGCTGTAATAATGTTGCTGCTTATTGTTTTGATATAATATATGCCTGACTCTTTTTTTCTGTCCATTTTTTTATTTTTTTATTAATTAGATCTAGTAATCCAATATTTGATAAATATTAAAACTTTTTGAAGAAGAAAACAAGAAATTTAAAGCAGACATGGAAGAAATCCGAATAGAAATAAGAAGTAGCAAAAAAACACACAAAAAACAGTATACCTTAAGCATAATAGGATAGAATATCTCCCCAGTTTAAAAAAAAAAAAAAAAGATTAGTGAGTGCAGATGACACTGTATGAAATAACTTTGTCTGAAGATTTCACAAAGTCCGAGGTACTTAAACTGAAAATGTAGAGAACTAACTAGAAGATGTGTTAGTGGAAGTTGAGCTGATTCAAGAATTGACATCACAGCACTCAGGGCTTTCATATAGGCTGTCCAAACCTGCCTGCCTGCGTGCCTGCGTGCACGAGGAAGTCTGATCAGCAATACAATACAAGCTTTGATAGGAAGTGAACAGGCTGTGACAATATATCACCTTTCGTACTCTTAGCAGGAAAAAAAGCTAGTTAGCACTGTATTTAATATGTACAATGAGTTAGGAACTGGTACAGTTTGGCCCAGAAAAGAGAATATTATACATCCCTTCACAAATTAAAGTTAATGTAAAGCTGTGCACCAGCTACAGTACTATCACTCTAACGTCATGCAAATCATTATGGAGGAATAAAAGACAGATGTCAGACAGGATCGCGATTTCCATATTAGAAACTTCTTTGATAATATTTGCTATATAGATTTTCAGAGGTTTCCCCAAGAAAAAAAGGTGTCAGTACTCACCGCAAAGTGTCAATTACAGTAGCCATGAAATAGCTATGCCTAAAAAAAAAAGGTTAAGGTACTGTGTAGCATTGTTTACAGCAAAAATAAAAACAAAGTCCTTAGATTTTCATATTTGTTTCATACACTACTACTGTCGTCAACATCATAACAAATTTGTGATTTTAAGAACATATAATCCACTTAAATAAATCAGTGTGCAACAACAAACCACTGTCAGAGTCACTGATGAAATATATCAAACAAATCTGGGGTGTTAGTGGAGTAAAACAATGTTGATTTATCTCTAGCGTGTAATCTCTCTGCCCACATTCAACATGTGTGCTAATATGTAATGAGAAATGTCAAAAAAGAACAAACTTAATCTGTTACAATTTGGATTCACTGATTGTTTCAAAATTCACATTTACAGATACTGAGGATCGCCTCCCAAACAGAGCCAGGATTACAGAAATTAATTATTTCTTGTTTTAAAAAGCATGATGGACATCAAAACCCTTTTCCCACATATAAACAGATGAAAATGCAAAACCACATGTTATGAAAATAATTTTTTTATCAGCATTTGAAGCCGCATTTGATTACATTCAGTTCTGCCTTTATTAATCTGTGCATCATTCACATACAAGACTTCTGCTTCAAAGTAGGACAGGCTAATATGAAATATATCATTTACAAACAAGCATGTTTCCTGTTTAACTATATGGGAATTAGTCAGTTTTTTTTTCATGGTATATACAAAAGGCTTCAAACTGTTACAATCTGTCAGCTTATTTAGGAGTAAGTTATCAATTTATTTTACCATATCACGTCTTAATACTCTACAGTTGTCTTTTACACACAGATGCAGGAACTTGTTATCCATGAAAATGTCTTCTATTGAAGAACATAGCATGTCTCTGAGACTGTGAAAGAATTTTTTTGTGCTTGTTTACAACTGTGAGTGACTCAGAATTAGTGATATGTTAACACTGGCTCTGTGTAAAATTTAAACAAATATTGCAGAAGATTTGAATTTATTGATTTGATTTAATAACCAACATCACAGCACTGCCCGCTGCATCAATCTCACCAGACTGTGGTGATCCATCTGCTCCTCTGAACTGTACACGCTCTTCCACAAGGCACTAACCACGTCTGCCTTATCATGTATAATAATTCCACCAAGTTGTGCAGAGCCAGCCAGTCTGTCCGCCTGTTCATTTCCCAACACACATTGCAGAAGGAACCAAAACAGCATACAATATTTAATTGGTTTGTTTCTTCCAAAGATATTTTCAGTTATTCCTCATTCTGATTGCTTCATCTTTGGTAACAGATAGTTTTTTTACTAACTCATAATTCAGCATATAAGTTATATTGTCTTATAATATTCAAATGACATTCACATTAAAACCTTATTATGTAGCAAGGTTAAAAACATTTACTGTTGCTTTTTGCTTTCTTACAGTATGTGAACTGACAACCCTGCAATCCACAGCTCTCCTCCAGTTATCTGTATACTCATATAGTTGCTTTTATGACTGAAACATTTTGTTTTCTCAATTAAACTAGCAATTTTTCTGCTACAAATGAAACATACAGTCTATAGTGATACTGGGTATACTCTCTATAACTGTGCCATGATGTCACTAAAAGAAAGAAAAAAAAAGACCAGCTTGACATATATATATATATATATATATATATATATATATATATATATATATATATATATATATATATATATATATATATATATATATATATATATATATATATATATACATACATATATATATATACACATATATATATATATATATATATATATATATATATATATATATATATATATATATATATATATATATATATATATATATATATATATATATATATATTCACTGCCATATGTTAAAATTAGTTATTTGTGACATGGAAGTATGTGTATATTTTCAGCTATATGAATGAATGGTTGGTGCACATTAATGCTGAATATTCCCAACATTACTCTTCACTTTCTCAAACTAACAACAATAGGTGCTTTCGAAAAATATAAATACCCCACTTCAACCACACACACACACACACACAGTTAAATAAATCCTGTATTGATATACGGATGTGACTTATGGACAGTTAGTAAATTAGTGAAAACTTATTTGGAAGCTGCAGAGATGTGGTTTTATAGACGAATGATGAGAATACTGTGTACATATAAAAAGAGTAATGAGAAAGAAACGTACTCATGAAGAGAATTCTCGTTCTCGTCTCAAATGACAAAGAAAGATTGCATAACATTTTCTTCGTTTTGTAAAATGCTGCCCTTGCTTGAGCTGTTCGACATTTAACTTCCTTATTACATCTTCCATCTGATGTTATCAGGGTTCGCAGGTACTTAAACACATCACCTTTCTTAAGGTTTATCCCAGTTACTTTTTGCTGCATTTTGGAGTGTCAGTTTTCTGCATAATCACCATTACTTCTGTTTTTTCTGCTGTTCAAACCAAGTCCCTTGTTTTTCACTTTCTGTTACAATTATATCCATCATTTTTTGCAGTTGTGTTTAATTTTCAGTGATCAAAACTATATTGTCAGTATATCGCAAATTGTTAACAATATGTCCATCAACTTCTATTCCTGGTAAATCAAGTATGGATCTAATTCATATTTCACTTTTCATACAAACTGAATAAATCAGGTGATAGTACACATCAATGTCTAATGCTGTGTTTAATGTTTTGAAAAGTTCCACCTTGTTTGTCAATCCTTATGGCTGCTTCTTGTTGCCAGTATATGTTTTTTATTTAAATTCAGATCTTAACCATCAGTATTTAAAGTTTCCAAAATTCTAATAAATTCTTCATGTTTCACTTTACCTGATGAGTAATCAATAAAGCACAAATACAATTCTTTATTCATGTCTGTCAATCATTCTTTCCGAAAGTGTTCTCAAAATAAATATGTAGTTTATGCCTTTACCTTCAACAAAACCAGTACTAGTCATCACTTTAACTGTGATAGGCAGATGATGCCTCTATAGGCACAATAGCTAGGACAAGCCTCCAGTATGGGCACTGCTCTCACAGAAAAAAATTGCAGCCTACTGTATTTTGCAAAGAAAAGTCATGTCTCTACACCAATTAATAAATGCAGACCAGGCTTAGGGAAGTTCAAGAACTGCCTTGTCCTGTAGGGACCTGTATGTACTACAGGTTCAGCCAGGCTGTCATCTGACTACTGTACAAAACCTAAAGATGAGACACTGATAATTGGAACATGGAATGTGAGAACACTTATGCAAGTTGGTAAACTGGAAAACATCAAGAATGAAATAAGAAGAATGAACGTAAACATCCTGGGATTGTGTGAAACGAGACATATTGGAGCAGGGGAAATGTACTCAGATAACTATCGAATAACTTACTCAAGTGGACAAAAACAATAGGGGAGTGTCAGCATAATTTCGGACAAAGAAAGAGCAAAAACAGTAAAGGGATATATGACTATATCAGAACGAGTACTATTTATCATATTAAGTGGTAAAAATGCATGAAAGCATCATTGACCATCTGTAAACTCTGGCAGAAAGTTCTAGTTGTTCACCCACTGCTGGACTTTGGACTTGTTCCAGAACTTAAGTTTTGTGTGCACATATGTTTTACAGATCTGGTTTATGTGTATATGCAGACTGTCGGTTTCTCATCTCTCATGTAGATGCACTCCCATTTTATGCACAATCAATATGAAAGCAATAGTTTTCTTCACACACAAGATAGTTTGCACCTGACAACTGTCGATATTCTCCAGATATGGCTTCTAAATTACCTGTTTGTATTATCCCTAAAAGTAAGATTTCTACATTTAAAGTAGAAAAGTAATAAACAGCCAGTTCCCAAAAATCCGAACTACTGACTAGAAACAGTCACAACACGACTGTCTTCCGTGAATTAAAATTAAAATTGCTGTATATCCACTTCACAATATCCATTTGTAGATTTGTAATATGAATACGTTTAGAACACAGCTTTGTAAGCATATTAATATGTCACACAATGCAACATGGAAACGCTCCCAGTAACCTATTT